ACCTGGCCCAGGAAATAAGTATTTTACCACTACAAAAGAATGGCCAGGCTCCCCGGGAAATCCAATCAAGTAACTTGCCAGACAGGAGATAAACTGTGACAGGATAAAAACAACATTTAAATTTCTGTGATGTAGGTGGGATGTATCTGAGGGGTGGTCTTAGGTTACACCCCTTCTGTGATGTATGCATAATGTTTCTGGGGGTGGTCTTGATCTAGAGGATGGGAATTTCAAAACTCTTTATAAGCCCTTGCACAGCATTTTTGTGGGTCCTCTTCCTCTCCTGCGTGTGAGGGGAGCACCGTTGCAACAGATCAATAAAGATCAAGCTTACTAGCTGCTTTGCTTCTCAATATTCTCTGGTTGGCCTCTGTTATTCTCTCCTACCAATAGGGAATCTATGTAAGGACTCTATATGGGCTCTTGGATACCCCATAAGGGAAAAGGGCATATTTTTTATTTACAACCAAACCAAACCATGCAGGCAAAGACACAGAGCTTTGCAAGTGCTGGTGATCAGCTGGTTGGCAGTACCTGCAGACCCCACTTTGGGAAAGGGAGCTGGGTCTTCACCTGCCCTAACAAGGGGGGGCAGTGCAAAAACTGATGCAAGGCAGGAGAGGAGCTGTCCACATTGTGGCAATGTGATGCAGACCAGACAGTAACACACTAATCTCAATGCCCCTGCTAGTTAGTCAGGATCTATACGTGATCCCTGACTAGGTGGCAGTAATACTGTGGCTGATCCAGAAGATGATGAAAGAAACAGCAAGTGGAGATAAATTATCACTGAAGCACCAACACTTGCCAGCCATTTGGGGGGCTGGGAGAGAATGCCACCAAGCAGGATCAAAAGAGGTGACCAGAAGGGAATGACTTTTGTTTTGTTTGAACCCCACTGAAATAGATATTTCCAACCCCAGCATCTAAGCTGGAGAATAATTGTGGTCCAGTTTGTAGCTGATATGAAGGCACCTGCTGTGGCTTCCTGGCTGAAATAAACAGACCCCCAATGTGCAGCCGCTGACAGGCTGGAAGACCCCATTGGACCTGCAATCCTTGAGCGCCATCACAGAAGAATGAAGGGATCCAACCAAAACGAAAATATGACATGTAATCAATGAACCTGCCTTCAATGTGTGAATGCTAAGAGCCATCTCCATCAAGCTAAGATTCATACCCTCGCATTCCTGCCAGCTCAGGGACACTCGGCACTCACAGCCCCACAGTGCTAGGAAGACCACACCTTGGGTGCGCGTCCTACTTTGCAGCTGCCAAGTGTTGTTAAACTTTAATACTATCTAACCAAGAGCCAACCTGCCCCAGGAAGCCAAGATCAGTATCAATTATTCACCAGCCCTTAATAAATATTACACACCAAAAAGTTATTGAAAGAATTTCCGTTTCATTTCCTCTTAAAGAGTCGCAGCTCACCTGGGAAACTCTGATTGCCCCCCACTTGCTCTCCAGCCTCTACCCAACAGCTTTGCTGGATGCTGAGTGGCTTATGCAGTAGCCTTTCCTTATCTCCTTGCCAGCTGAAAGCTAAGGAGTTAATACCCCTTGGAAGGTAATAGTCTATTCAAAACACAGCAGGTGGGCTCTGCTCCCTGTAGCCAGGTATGTGGCAAGGGAAACAATGGTCCCCTGGCTTAGATATTGACATATGTACTGAAGGAAGCACACAAGAAAGCCCATCACCACCTCAAGCCAGTAAGCTCTGGCTTTATGGCATCTGCTCTTGGCAGCTATGCTCAGGCTCGGATTCCCAGAGTAGTCTTGTGCAAATCCGGAACCTGGAGCTGGCAGGGCATCTCAGCCAAGAATTCTCAATCCACATCTTGCCTGTGTCTCCAACTCCCTAGCGAAACGTAGGTCACATCCGCACCATACATGTAAAGCACATGACTTGCCACCAAAAAAACCTACAATTCCCAGTATTCTAAGGGTTCTGGGAACTGTAGTTCCATAAGGGGCAAATTACAATTCCTAGGATTTGTGTGTTTTAAATGGGTGGTGTGACTCCAGGCAAGTCAGTGTTTCTAAGCCCAATACAGTCATGTTGTTTAGTCGTTTAGTCGTGTCTGACTCTTCGTGACCCCATGGACCAGAGCACGCCAGAGCACAATGCAGTCATACCTCAGGTTGAATACGCTTTGAGTTGAGCGTGTTCGAGTTGCGCTCCGTGGCAACCCGGAAGTAACGGAGCGCCTTACTTCTGGGTTTCGCCGCTTGCACATGCGCAGGCGCTCAAAATGATATCACACATATGCGCAAAAGGGGTGAAAAGCGACACGCGTGTGCGCAGACGTGCCATCACTAGTTACGTTTGTTTCTAGATGCGAACGGGGCTCCGGAATGGATCCCGTTCGTATCTAGAGGTACCACTGTATATATATGTTCCTAACCCCAAGATTCAGATTCTCATGCTTTCCTGTGAGCCACGCGCTTCTTTCCAGTGTCAGTTGCTCTTCCTGCAGAGGATGAGCCCCTGGCCTGATCCAGAAGGGTTCTTTTTATGTACTTACGCTAATTTTTGCATTTCACTTCAAATGCCCATTCAGAATAATTTGTCTCATTCCAGTTACATCCACCGTCTAACCTTTGCCCCCAGCCCCGCTCTCTGTTTTCCTTTGCAAACATCCATGAGCCCAGGTGGAGCAACAGCTAATTCAGCAAAAGCCCCGTGATGACCCACCTTCGGAGGACGGCAGCTTAAAACTTTAATGGTGACTTAGGGGCCTCTCCATATTTAATTCCATCCCAGCCTTTAGATCACTATGTTCTCTTAACTCAGCAAAGGGTTTATTTATGAGAGAGAGCTGTCTATTTAAAACAGCAGATGCACCAATTTTCTGGAGGGATCTCCCCCCCCCCCCATAGTTCAGAAGGTGAAATTACCTTCTTTGTATTATTAAATACTTGCTGTCCCACTGCCACCCAGTGGTCACAAGAGAAAATTGTCATTTCACAGCTTTTCTACATTTTTAAACTCACGCAACAGCAGCAAAAATAAAACCCACCCTACCCCCGCCCCTTTCTCCCCATTTTCCCAAGTCAGGGGGATTTTCAGGAAAGCCTGAAAATGCACTGCATGCAGAAGGTCCCAGGTGCATGCAAAGCATATGCTCTGCCACTGAGCCGCCAGCCCCTTTCCCATCTAGCTCAGTATTGTAAGCACGGACTGACAGCAGCTTTTCAGGAGGCATTCTGGCAGGGGACATTCCTAATCCTACCTACAAGGCATACTTGGGGTTGATTAGGCTGGTCAGTCTTTTGCTGAAAACAAAGATGAGGAAAGGGTTGAACAACCTCGCCCCACCATCAAAGTCAATCTGAAGTGGGCCCTGCAAATTACCGTAGTTGAGTGGAACCTGAAACCAGGGTCTTAGCATGGCCATAACTTTGATCATTGTAAGCTGCCCTCAGATTCCTTTTCAGCTGGAGAGCAGGATTGAAGTTCTTTAAATAAATGAAACCATCATGGTTCATCCACACGGTGTCTAATTTGGTCCTAATACAGCTCAACTACACTTCAGGACTTGGTTGTTAATCATACCTTTAGCCCAGGAGGTGGCACTGCTTCCTTACTTATAAAAATACTGTGGCTGAATTCAATCCCATCCTAGGAAAAAGTGACTCAAGTCTGTGGCTGAGCCATAGGCGCTGGCTCCAGGGGGCTGAGGCTCTTTGGGCCCCCTCAGACTTTTTTGGGGGGGCAGGAGCAGGCCAGCCCCCCCCATTTTTGAGACCAAACATGGAGCAACATTAGGACATCACATTCACTCTGAGCTGAGCGAAAATGGCCTCCCTAAATTATGCAGGTGGTGAAATTAAGAGGCACATGGAAGGGGGTTCATTTTCCTGAATGTTCTCCAAGGGGGAGTTTGGGGTGGTGGCAAAAAAAAAAGGGTAAATTCACAAATCATTTTCCAGAAAAATTCTCTTCTCTTAAATTTCAGGTTGGTTCATACTGAGGAATACTACATACTGCAACAGGTCACTAATGCAATAATAGAGCATTAGCAATACATTGATACTAGACCATCCACAGATCATTCCACTTTATTAGTTGTTCTGCAATGCCTCTCCATATTGTTGCATTACTACTATCTTGTAGCAAAACAAAACAAACCCCACAACATTAGGTAAAGGGACCCCTGACCATTAGGTCCAGTCGTGACTGAGTCTGGGGTTGCAGTGCTCATCTCGCTTTATTGGCCAAGGGAGCCGGCGTACAGCTTCCGGGTCATGTGGCTAGCATGACTAAGCCGCTTCTGGCGAACCAGAGCAGCGCACGGAAACGCTGTTTACCTTCCCGCCGGAGCGGTACCTATTTATCTACTTGCACTTTGATGTGCTTTCGGCAAAACAAAACAAACCCCACAACATTAGTTGTGCAAAAATTACAAGATTTAGCCAGGAAAGACATGCAGCTCTTGCAAATGAAGCACTATGACCACCCAGAAATGTTTGATGCTGCAAACATTTATTGAGTATAACTGCCCTTATACCACCATGAGTACAAATCATTACGAAGGGCACCTGTCCTTTGGCTGATTGGTTGGTTGCAGTTTCTTTGTTGTTGTTTTCTGACAGTGCAGAAGGGGCCAAAATACTGGCCTCAGCATAATTTTGCTTCCAAGCAAACACACCAAAGACCAGGCTGGGGCGGGGGGGGGGGGACATGCTGCGTTGCTAGTTTCCAAAAGATAATACCAGAGCCCCCCTACAATAAACTCCCACTGCCACTGGCCTTGCTGAGGCCTAGCTCATTCCCGATTCCCACGCTTAGTTAATTGCCGGCAAATTCCGCTTCTCCAGGATTTCCCTCTTGTTTCTCTTGGCCCAGACAGCTTCACAATGGGCAACGCTTGTTATTTCAGTCTTCGTTGTTTTCCTATGCTTCCTATTTCCCCGACTGCAGCTCTCCCCCTGCCTGCCCCTGTTTGTAAGGAAAGCAGCAAGCTAAACCCTGCAAGGCCACTGGGCTGATCCAAGCCTCTCTTAGGACTCCTGCTGTCTCCTCTCCTCTCCCATAATTTCACCCACCCATTACACATGCCTCCAGCCAGGAAGCAGGTGAAGTCACCCTGGTTTCCCTTCTTTTTCCACCTGCCCCACCAGCTGCCCCTTGGAGGATCGTAATAATGCTACAGGACTGAGAGCCAGCCCAAAGCTTTTGACAACAGTGACTCCTCCCTTCCCCTTTAGCTCCTCCCCTCTGCACTCATCCTGGAGTTATTGTAGTCAACTTCCCCACCACCACCACCAAGCTCTTCAGAACAGTCACGGAGTTTCCTGGATCACAGCAAGAGGGCTCTGTGCTCTCTTGCCGCAGCCTCCTTTCTCTTCTGGAGCAAAACTTGAACTCAGAACCAAAAACTTGGATTTGTATGCTGAAAACTTGCATTTTACTTGTTGGTGAGTACCACAGTCAGGGAAAGAACATAGGAAGCTGCCAAGTCAGGCCCTTGGTCTGTCTTCTTCAGTGTTGTCTACACTGACTGGCAGCAGCTGTCCAGGGTTTGGGGCAGGGATCTCTCCCACCCTGCCTGGGGATGCCAGGGATCAAACCTGGCACCTTCTGCATGCAAAGCAGGTGTTCTGCCATTGGGCTACAGCCCTTCCCCAATCTCCAAATTAGTTGGACAGCCTCAGAAGTCGTGGGCCCATTTCTTTGATTTATTTTACCTTATTTGTTTATTAGTTTCTACTTGCCTGTGAGTTCTTTCCACTTGGTCTGGTACTCTTTTTCTGCATGGAACCTTGGAATGATTTAGTCGTTTAGCTATGTTTCTGTCCTGCCCTCTTTCTATCAAGAGGGTATGCATGGCACAGTCTCCCATACAGACCTGCTTTGCTTCAGCAAAGTTGCCATATCCTTCGGCAACTAGTTTTTAGTCCTCATGTACTCAGTGGAAGAAGGAGCAAGCACACTGCATGTGCTCAGAGGCACACTCTTATCCTTGTGTGTATATTCCATGTATACTGAGCCTCAGTCCCAGTACAGAATGCAAATTCTGGAGCATGGACTCTCAGCCAGATAATAAAACACCAGATAATAAAGATAGGATCACACACACCAAACTGGCATAGGGCTGCCAACTTTTCAACCTGCCACTGTCATCATGCTTTCAATAGCACCTTGAAACGCATACATTAGCCAGCAGTCATGTTTCCCTCCATGCCGTGAAAAGTTCTGCTGGTTGATGTGTGTCAGGCAATGAAGACACAGCAGCAGAACAGGATTTCCTTCCATCTGGCAACCCTGATCTGAGATAGCTTGCGTTTCTTCCAAGCATTGGGGGTTTCTTACTTATCCTTGATAGGCAGTTCTGGGCAGCAGCAGGAGAAAAAACATTTACCTGCCCTGCCGGAATTTCCTCTAGAATAATTTAACCCTTTGATAGAGTTAAACCTGCTCCGCCCCCACACACACACTCCTTCCTTCGTTGGTTCTGTTGAGTGGGACAATCCTTTCGGTATTTGAGGTTGAAAATGCTATCACTTTAAAAGCTGATCAAGCCCCTGACTGGACACTTCTTGATTGACTGCCTGCTCTTTTCTCTTTATAACCCCAGGGGCAAGAAGCAGAGGGCTGTGGTGGCCTTCAGAGAGGTACTAGGCTGAGAGAGGGCTTAAAAGGTGAGCAAAAGAATTTGTTATTTGGCCATTGTTATCTGTTGACTTTATGACTTGTCCCTCTGACTTTATTTGCACTTTAAGATTAAATCTCTGTTTATGTTTGAAAGTTGGTGGTGTCAAAAATCTATGATAGGATATAGCTTAGCATTGAAAAATACCCATGTTTAGTAGCTCCATGCATGGTTTTTGAAGATACCTAAGACAGAGCTGCAGGATGAAATTGCCAAGTTAAAACAAATAACTGGATGGGTGGGGAAAGGCTCCAGAATGCAGAAATGGTTGTAGCTCATCAAGAGAGCATCAAGGTCCCAGGTTCAGTCCCCAGCTGCATCTCCAAGTAGGAACTGCTGCTGCCAGTCAGTGTGTGTAATATGGAGCTAGGTGGAGCAATGGTCTGAATTTGTATAAGACACCTTCCTATATTACAGCAGCAGGAGCTCCTCATTGCTGTCTCCAATTAAAAGCTTGGTATGCAATCATGCTTTTAAGCACAAGTGCCTTGTCTGATACAAAATTTTAAATTTAAGGTGACGTTAGCTTTAAGGGGAAGTTCCTGCAAAGCAGCTGAACACAGCAGAGGAGAGTAGCTTTTCAAAGGTCTCCGTTTTGTATATTTTGTCAGCGTGCTCAGTATCTTGCTTCCCCCCTCCCAATAAGATTTAATCTTTCTAGCTGTTGTTTTTTACAGGAAACTGTGGGTAACAATGAGCGATATGATTAACCCCAGATATGGGGTTGTGGTTGGCTTGGCTTCTTGGTACAGATCCCTAAAGGGACAGCATTCATTGGGCGGTTTGTCTCCTAAGTGCTAAAAGATCATAGAATCAAAGAGTGCAAGGTATTCCAAGCGCCATCTACTCCAACTCCCTGCAATGCAGTCCCTGACAAATGGCCACCCAACCTCTGTTTAAAAACCTCCAGTGAAATAGTCCACCACCTTCCTAGACAGTCTGTTCCACTGCTGAACAGCTCTAAGATCAGGGGAAGTGAGGGTCTGGTCCCTTTAGTAGAAATATATCGTGGTGGTTTTTTTCTAAATGTTCTGCAAACGATGAGACTATTAGAAATTGTCCTGCACAGTGGATCTTCTTACCAGACATCCACACCAAGCATGCAAAGCACTTTTATACCATTTTCAGTGTCATGGTCCCCTCCCCCCCCCCCCCCCGGGAACTGTGGTTTGTCATGGGTGCTATTAGGAGAACCCTTCACAGAGCTATAATTCCCAGCATGTTTAACAAACTTCATTTCTCATAATTCCTTGGGGAGGAAACATGACTGTGAAAGTAGTATAAGAGTTGTAGGATCATGAGCTTTATTTATTTTTTATTTATGCAACTATTTCTTGCAAAACTTCAGTTCAACAACATGAATATATGGTGTGGATTTGACTGTTGCCTTTTCTCCTTCACAGGGCAATTTCTAGAATTAATTTGCAGGCCAGTAGGTTAGTTCACATTGGTCCCAGGGCCTGGTCTTAAGACACTTAATGGGCCAAGATTGCTGAAGCTAAGGAGGTCTGGGTCTTGTCAGTGCCTCACTGCGAGACATTTTGAGAATCCTATTAAAGCTGCCTCGTTTCCACAGCAGAAAAACAAGGCCCTTCTCCTGTGCAGTTGCCTCTTCTCCCTGCTTGCTGAGCACTCTTCCAAACCCCTTCCAAAGAACTGGTATTTTTAAAGTGTTTTTTAGGCTGCTAACATCACTATGGTCCAGAATTTGTATATGTATATATCTGTACTTTTCTGCTTTAAACTCTACTCTTAAAGCTTTCGTCCTTCAATGTCCATGAAAATTCTGGATAGGCAAATATTCTAGTCCTCAAAGTATCTTGTTACTAGATAGGTGGAGAGGGTGGTGGAGAGCCTGGGAACAGTTAGCTGGCCCTTTCTCTCTATCCCAAAACTGTCTTTTAAAAATGGGGTGCTCTGTAAGGATTGTCCTTGTCCAGATGTAGAAGAACCTGAAACACTTCTGGATTCCTCTGCCCTTTGTTATTTTGAAAGCAAGTTCTGACACTTCTAGAAATTCAGCTGCTCTTCACTTCCACAATAGCAGGGCACCAGGGGTGAGACTTGCGCAAGCTACCATTCTGACTGTTAGCGTCTTAAGGCAAATTGTATTTTAAGTCTGGGGCTCCTTATTTCAAAAAAATAAAATACAACAATTATATGTGATCTGTGCTTGCTCATACTTGGTTTTCACTTGTGCTGGTCTCTCCCCACCCCAAGCTATCTAAACTTTCACCTGTAAGCTTTTGGGGCAGGAACCTTCCCTGTTAATATTAGTCGGAAACACCACCTACACTGAAATGGTGTTATGGAAACAATATTTGCAAAACTTCGCTGTGTGACTATGTATCACATAGCAAGTAATCAAGAGTGGCTTTTAAGTGGTAAAAGTATGTATTGTGCTCTCCCTTAGCACAAGATGGGTGACTGGGGCTTCCTGGAGAAGTTACTGGACCAAGTGCAGGAGCACTCGACGGTCATCGGCAAAATCTGGTTGACGGTCCTCTTCATCTTCCGCATCTTGATCCTGGGCCTCGCCGGGGAGTCCGTGTGGGGAGATGAGCAGTCAGACTTTGTTTGCAACACCAAGCAGCCCGGCTGCCCCAACGTCTGCTATGACAAGGCTTTCCCCATTTCCCACGTCCGTTACTGGGTCCTGCAGTTCCTCTTTGTCAGCACACCCACCTTGGTCTACCTGGGACACGTCATCTATCTCTCCCGGCTTGAGGTGAAGCTGAAGGAGCGGGAGAGTGAGCTCCGGGCTTTGCAGTCTAAGGATTACAAGGTGACAGCCATGCTGGTGGCGGTGGAGAAGAAGATGGCCAAGATCTGCGTGGCGGAGGATGGGAGGATTAAAATCCGTGGGCCTCTGATGTGGACCTACACCATTAGTGTGGTCTTCAAGAGCATCTTTGAGGCTGGCTTCCTCCTTGGCCAGTGGTACCTATATGGTTTTGTAATGCATGCCCGTTATGTCTGTCAGGGGGACCCGTGCCCACACCATGTGGACTGCTTTATGTCCCGTCCCACTGAAAAAACTATCTTCATCCTCTTCATGCTAGTGGTGGGCTTGATCTCCCTCGTTCTCAACCTTCTGGAACTCTTCCACCTCTGCTGCAAGAGCCTGCTCCACAACACCAAGGAAAGAGACTACTGTTCCCCCTCCTCTGCTCCTCCCATGCCCTGTGAGGCCAACAGCTTCCCCAACAAGCTTTGCGGTGTGCCTGAGGAGGCTTATTCCGACAAGGCTTTCTTCTACCTCCCAATGAATGAGAGGCCTTCTCCGCCCTACCAGGCATACAACAAACTTTCCAGTGAGCAGAACTGGGCCAATTTCAACACAGAAGAAACCTTGGCCTTGCAAGGCAGGAATAAGCCCCCTGACGTCTTTAACACGGATGCCCCCATAGTCCATCTCTCTCAGGAAAGGCAGTCGAGCCGGCCTAGCAGCAGTGCTTCCAAGAAGCAATATGTCTAGCAAGCAAAGCAACCATTACAGAAGATGGATGTTGTCTTCCTTTGTGGCAACTCTGGGTTTACTCAGCTAATTAGCCTTCCTGATAATGGATGGCTCCCTTCCGATTTTGACAAAAGTGGCCATGTCTCAAATGTTCTTCTCAGGGGCCGCCTTGTTTTCTACCATGTGAAACCTGCTGTACCAAGTAGGGCTATCCTGGCTTTCGTATAGACATAAACTGAACCTTCCAGGTAGAGTCTACCATGGGACATCTTCTGGGCCAATGAAATGGCTGGTTCAGTCATCCAAGTGTCAGAGGGTGACTAGTTGATTGGGGAGGGGCATTTGTTGGTCTTCTTTTTGTGTTAGGCCTTGCAGGTGAGGATGGGTAGCAGCAACCACCTGATGAGGAGGAGGAGGAGGAACGGGCACCTCTACCAGCTTGGCACTATGCAGGAGTTGGCCTTGCTTTCTGGAAGATGATTTGTATCCTAGTGCAAAAGACACAGAGGAAAGTGTTTTTGTTTTCAGTGGGAAGAAACTTACTGTTGTGGCTTCTATTCCCAGATAGCAACATGGTGACGTCGTATGACATTCATATATTATTTTTTCTTTCCTTTTCTGCACAACTCCCTGGTTTACAGGAAGTCTGAGTAGGATAGCAAAACTGTGAGCCATATACAGTCATGTTGGACTAAAAACAGAGTTCCTGTCACAAGCGGGCATTTTAGGGAATATCGACCACTGCCGAAGTAAGCTTGTCAAGCAGGCCTCCTCGCTGAGACAGTTTGGTTGGTGTGACTTTAGTACTTTTCAGTTATTTCTTGCATGTTGTGCTCCTTGATGGCAACTGTCACTGGAAACTGTCCCTGAAGGCTTTGTGCCGTATTACGGAGTTCACCTTCACTGTATAATGTAACCACTAGCACTTGATCTGAAAAAGACTTTTGCACTTCCAACTTGATAGCTTTTTTGGAATTGAAGATCCACAGCAAAGTACGTGCTTCCCTCCTACAAACTGCTCAGGGTTAAACCCCACCCCCCCACTGGCTGCCATTTAAGTTTCTGGTTCTGGGACACCTTTCTATAGACCAAAGGCAGCAAACATGGTGCCCCCAGATATATTTGGACTAGAGCTCCCAACATCCCTGACCATTTGCTGGCTTGGGCTGATGGGAGGTGGAGTCCAATAACATTAGCCATCCCTGCCAAAGACATCCTAAAGAAGGTTTTAGTTAATTTGTTCACCAATTCATCAAAACTCTGTCTCCTGATCATTTTCTGAAGTGTCATTTTTTTTTCCATCAAAAGCAAGACACTGCTCCACTGGGCTGTCAAGAAACTGGTGGCAAGTCTGTGGCTGTTAACTTTTGTTTGATGTACATTCCAATGCATATAGGGCCCCCTCCCTGCCATACTGGATAACAATTGGTCCTCTTGGATTCAGTGCCTGTCCCCCTGCTTAACCCCACTATGTAGAATGATGCGTTAAGTCATAAAACACTGTTTACTATTCTCTTTTTAAGATGTCAGATGTTTTATATATGTATCTTTAAGTATGGCTGTATTGCCCAATCTCTATCCTGGATTCTTTGTTTTGCTTTCCTGTCCCCTTGTGTTAATTTATTGCAATCTTAAATCCTGTATAGTCTGAAAAAGGCAAGCTGGATCTTCTGCATCTGTTGCTGAGGCAGCGTCTAAAAGTTAAAAGTAGGAATCTCACCTGAATCTCACAGAAGGATATGCCTGTTGAGCTGCCTTGGGAAGAGGTCTTTATCCATTTCTGAACTAATACAAAGGGCAGGGGTGTCTTAAAATGTTTATCTGCAGCAACTTCTTGCATAAGAAGTGTTGGCTTAAATAAGAATATGGCAGCTCCCTCTTTGTAGCATCCAACATCCTAACCAACAGGATGTTGGGCAACCTGATTTTTCGCGGTCTCCAGTGAACTGTTCTTGATAAAGCTGTGAAAAGGAGATCTGTCGGTTTGATGTCAACCAGCATGTAATATGGAGAGCTTACTTCCCCACTGCCAAACTGGCCAAAGTTGAATGAACAGCAAGGGCGCAAGTAGGAAATTTGGGAATACATTTAGTAGTATTAAAAGTGGTTTGTTTGTTGTTGTTTTTCAAATTAAAAGAAAAACATGAGACCATCTTGTGTGTGCAATAAGAGTGCTCCTTGAACCCTTTGTTACATACTCTGTGCTTGAAATCATAGAATCATAGAGTTGGAATAGACCACAAGGGCCATCGAGTCCAACCCCCTGCCAAACAGGAAACACCATCAGAGCACTCCTGACATATGGTTGTCAAGCCTCTGCTTAAAGACCTCCAAAGATGGAGACTCCACCACACTCCTTGGCAGCAAATTCCACTGTCGAACAGCTCTTAATGAAAAAGCAGGTTCTGGGAAGTGAGGGGGAAACTGCCTTGTGTTTCACAACTGGTGTGGCCAGGCTTTTGAGGGCTCCTTTGCTTATTTCACTGGTGCCCCAACAGCTATTAACCCAGATCCAGCTTCATAAAGAACATACTGTATATGACAACCAAAGAACAGCCGCCCTTTGAAAGTGGCACTTCTCCAAATGTTGCAGTGCAGTTCACCAATCAAGTAACGGGTACAAAAACATATATGCCAGGGCAAGCGGTATGTGTATTATTACTGATAATACTATACAAAAAAGCCTTACGTTGGGGGAAATTGCTTTGGAAATGTGTGTATAGTAAGCAAAAATGTATAGCTGGAAATATGCTGATGAATACTCAATATGACTTCTTAATAATAATCCCAAACTGATGTGACAATGTGGAGAATGGAACGTGATTGGAAACAATGAGAAACAGAAATTGACAAACCTTCCTACCCCATTTGCAACATACATAAATTATAGGCAGCTCAAAACTTCATTCTACCTCAAGAGCAAAACATAAAATGGGGGGGGGTGGGCTTTTACAGCCAGACGGCTGCATTTCCCCATGACTTACCTGCCAGGGGCTGCATGCCAGTGGGTGGGGTCAGAGACCAAAAGGGTAGGACAAATGGAAATGCTGCTTTCATTTGTACACTGGGCTGTACATTCCAGCCAAGGTGGTGTAGTGGTTACGAGTGCTGGACTAGGACCTGGGACACCAAATTTCAAATCCCCACTGACCCTTGAGCCAGTCACTGCCTCTCAGCATAACCTATCTTACAGTGGTGGTGTGGGGAGTAGGTGAAGTGGGGAGAGCCCCTACAAGTTTTGCTCACAAGTCTGGCATCCTCTCTTCATTTGCTTCCAAGATTATACTTGCCGCTATTTGCTTGCTGTTATTTTGCCTTGGGTTTTGACAAACTGGAACCGGTGCAGAAGAGGGTGGCCAAGATGATAAACGAAATGAAACCTTATGAGGAACAGTTGAGGGAGTTGGGTATGTTTGGCCTGGAGAAAACTGGTGTGTGTGAGGGGGGGGGCATCTTCAAGTACCTAAAGGTCTGTCATATGGAAGCAAGCTTGTTTTCTGCTGCCCCCAGAGGATAGGAACCCAAACCAATGGGTTCAAGTTACAAGAAATGAAATTCTGGCTAAACATTAGGAAGAATGTTCTGATGGTAAGAGCTGTTCAACTGTGGAACAGACGAGTTTGGAAAGTGGGAAACTCTCATTGGAGATTTTTAAACAGGTTGTATGGCCACCTGTCAGGGAATTTTTTTAGCTGTGACTCCTGTATTGCACAGGGTTGGACTAGACAGCCCTTGGGAACTCCTTCCAACTCTACAATTCTATGATTAATATGTTGGTTTTATTCCCATCCTTTTAAAGCCACAGTCCTGAATAACCTGGATTCATTTCATTTCAGTTTATTTCATTTTACTTGGCAGCATTCCAGTTGTGTCAGCCATTTCTGCTACATCAGCAGCAAAGCAGGGTCAATTTCTTTCTTTCCCATTTATTCTCATGCCCGTGTCTGATGCTACTTATTTTAATTGCAGCCTCTATGAATATGTTAAACATTACAAGGAACTGTGAGCACCCTTGACAGATCTCTCAATGCATTTCAGCTCTTCACTCAAATATCATTTACACTAATGATAGCTTTCTAGTTTGGGTATAAATTATATATTATTCTTCTGTCCTCTGAGTTTATTCCTGCCTGCTGCAATATAAGAAACATCTTATTCCAGCTGTCATGGTCTTTTCCCCTAGGTCAATAATATGCTATGCATGAGCCCATAAGACTGTGGAGTATTTCAGGTGTGTGGTTTGGTTTGCACATATATACAGCTGAAAGGATTCACAGCATTAACTTCTCTGGAAACCTAATGGGAAAGCAGCAGATCTTGCTTCCCCATTAGGTTTCCAGAGAAGTCTTCAACCACAGCTTTGGGTCCAGGATGGAGCAAGCATGGCTCTGCCCTCCAGCTTCCAGCATCAGCCAGAACTCACACTGCTCTCATAAACACATCCCTCAAAAGCCATCCTATTTCTCCATCCTAAGATGATGTGGTACCCAGCCAGGTAAGGTGAGGAGATGCCCACCAGTTTGTCTCTATGGCAACAGAGCTTACTTCTTAAGATATGAATGCTATGTACTTAGCTGAGCAGCTAAGGCCATTACATTGACAAAGAAACTGGTCTGGCAGGTTTCCACTTGTGGATGCTACCCTCCCAGATACAGGATCATGGGTTTAGAAGGGAGCCAGATAGCATCCCCACTGACCACCACCACCCCTAGCCCCATCCAAATTTATAACATTGCTGTTAAGTGGATTTGAGGAAGGTTGGTGCCCCGTACCCCAAGCGTGCTAGTCAATGGCTCCTCATCCACCTGGAGAATTGACCAGTGATCTGATTCAGTTTAAGGCAACTTCTTATGTTTCACATTAAGAGCCATTTTGGGTCAGTGGAGTTTAAGAAGCTGCGTCAGGGGATTCTGCAGAGCCTCAGCTCAAATGATAAAAGGGTTTTGTCTAAATGTCAGGAAGAACATCCTGATGGTATGAGCTGCTCAAGAGTAGGACAGACTGCCTTGGAAGGTGAGGAGCTTTTCTTTGTTAGAGGCACAAGGATGCTGTCCCAGCAAATTTCCAACATCCAGGGGCTGGACTAGATGGCATTCAAGGTTCCTTCTGATTCTGTTATTCTAGTCTTTCTTTTTAATGGTGTATTCAGAGGTCTTTTTTGCTTTATACACCTCTGTGTGCTGTTCTGAATGCTCAGATTATCCCCCCCCTTCCCTTTCTATTTAGTTTCTAGCATCTGAGTCTACAATTCATTTTAGTCAAATTACAATTGTTTGCCTGCCTCTGCTCATGAGGAGCCTATGCTGGATTTGATTTTATTTTTAAACTGATCTGAAACTGTTACGTTATCTTTGATATCTTCCTGTAGTCCCCCAGTGTTTCCCAAGTGTGTGTCCGTTTCCTTTTAAAGTACGGTAGTTCACATTGCTTATCTATTGTTCCTAAATTGAATTGTCGACAAAACCTCTCGTTTCTTTTACCAAGCCCTGAAAAGGAGAGCCTTGTATGCAATCTTAAAGGGCATCGCACAGGCCCTTTATTGAAGAAGCTGGGGCTGGCCAATCCCCAGGAAGTGGGGAAGGGGGACCTGGGGCCCTCTGGGTAGCATTGACCTCCAACTTCCATCAGCTCCAGCCAGCAAGGCTCATAGTCTGGAATGATGGGAGTTGTGGTCTTGTGAGGTGACTCTCAGAAACATCTGGAGAGAACCAAGTTCCCTGCACCTGGCATCTATTCTGCCCTGGAGTTCCTCCTTCCTGTGTCCCCCCGCCCCGCCCCGCCCTTCTGTGCCAATAGCAGCATTGCAATTTCTCCATATGGTGAAGCTACATTTTCCTTTAGCTGTAGCAATCAGTTCTTTCCTCTAGTTCCAGCTCATCCCAGCCTGCTTTTGTACCACACCAGGACTGGGGAACTTGTGGCCCTCCAGATGTTGGTGGACTGCCATGCCTATCATCTCTGACCATTGGTCATGCTGGCTTGGAGCTGCTGAGAGTTGGAGTCTACATCTGACTTGATCGTAGTAGAGCAAACACATTGCATGCAGAAGGTCTTATGTTCAATTCTCAGCATCCCTAAGAAGTCCAAGAAAAGACTCCCCCAATTCTTCCCATTCCTTGATTCCCTTTTAAGTCAATATCGGCTGGTTTCTTTGCTGGTACATCTCCCACCGCTGCACACACACATAGTGTGCCCCTGCCCAACCCTGTCCCAACACACACACACCTCATTCTGCTCCTGCCTTCTCAACAGCCTGCTGATAAAAGGTTCATTCGTCCCAAACAGTTGTGTTCTTTGCTAGCCACATAATAGGTGGAAATGGATTCAAGATAAGCCTCAAAGCTCGATACGCTGGTATTGTTTTCTGTTTCTATTACTAGAGGACTTGAAATATTCCAGCACAGTACATTCTCTCTAGGTTAAAAATAACTTGCTCGGAGCAGTTTGAGATGCGCCTTTTCCCTTCTAGGCTGAAGTCAGAGGGAGCAGAAATGTGGCACAACTTTTCTTCATCATCTTCATCATACATATTTCTATTAAAATAGCTGGAGTGGTTTACATTTTGTATAAATAATAATAATCAGCAGCAGCCTAACAAAAGCAAGAAAAGGAGAAAGTAGACAGAGAAGAGCTTTTTCTCCATCTCTCATTGAACTGGGGGCTATACAATGAAGCTGCATGCCCCCACCAAAAAGACCATCTCCCTGGCTGACATTGACCTGCCCAAACACTGAGCACAGAGGCACCTGAAACAGAACCTTCAAAGTCAGTCTCAAACTCCTGCTGCCCTCCAGTTGTTTTGCACCACATTGATTTCATGGGGGGGGGGGGAGTTAAGCACAGATTTCTGGACCTCTTCCACTGAAGCAGCTCCCTGGCTTTTGAAGGACCAGGAATCTGAAGTTGTTGTTTCGTTTTATTTTTGCACTGCTGTTTTTATCTCCCGATATTTTTAAATGGAATATTTTTATATGGTGATGTTTCGGCTTACATTTTCAGAGCACCTGTTGGTAGGAAGGTTGGCTGAAAATGTAAGAATAAGCAAATTGCTGGCATTTAAAATAACTGGCATTTAATGAGACCATACCCAACATATTTATAGAAAGTATGTTTCCCCTACCCAAAGTTGCAATCATTTGCTGCCCACAAAGG